ACATCTTGAACTCTACAATTCTTTAAGATGCATTAACTACATTTTGCATATGAGGAAGAGAGGCATAGAGGATGAAGTCAGGAGGTTAAAGATACCTAATCCTGGACCTAGTAAGGACCAGGACAGCAAGCTCTCCTTGCCATTGTCACTGAGAATATGTAGAATTTGTCTCCTTGCACCTGGTGGGTTTTATCCTCCCCATCTGTGCCCATGGGAGGTGGTCTACATGAAAGTGCTTCTCTTTTTTTATACATGGCTTTCCCTCATTTGCTGATATCCAAAATAGGTGCTTGTATGAGGTAAGGCATCACTGTCATACCCACTTACTGTGGTCTTCCCTCCTACTAGCTCATGGAGCTTCAAATTCTGATCAGTCATTTCAAATTCTATCACACACAATTTTCTGAGACATTTCTGATTTAATATTCAATTCTCTAGAATACTGTTATGAATGGTTTGCCCAAACAGTAAGTTCATGGAAGGCTGTATAAACTAGTGTATTTCTACATGTCACTCCTATACCTAGCACACAATTGTGTACATAGTACAAATTTACAAAATGTTTGTTGAGAGACATTTTACCTGGGCTCTAGATTAGGCTTCTTTCATTAATGATTGTACTTAGCTATAAAATGTCATTAATGGTACTTTCCTTGTATTATTTTGTTATAATGTCTTTCCTTCTCCCATCTGCAAATTTGATTATATTTTATTTTCACCTAAGGCCTAATACAGTCACCATTTATCCAAGAAAACTCCCATGACATCTATTTCCAGGCAGGCTTAGGTGTCTAACCTTTGTGTTCCTCTAATATCGAATTCATCCAACTATGTCACAGTGTATTAAAGGTTAGACTTCTGTATCTGCTTCTATATCTCTGGGCAGAGAAATCTTTAGGGGCAAGGATTGTGTATTTACTTAGTTTTCTGTTAGTGCTGGTACATGAAAAATGAACTATGAATAAAAGTTTGATGTAGTTATCCTATCTCAGCCTTCTTCCCTGTCCTTCCAAGATGTCAGTTTAGTTTTAAAAAGTATGAAAATATTTCTAGGAATTTGATAGAACTCCTAGGAAGTAGTACTTCCAATCCTGTAACATTTTATGCCTGATTTTGATTTAGCTCTGAGGCTTGGGATTGTCTTTCTAGCCATGCCACCTCAGATCATTACCACGAACACCTTCTCTTTCAAGTTTACCTAGGGACAGATTGCCTTCTTCAATTTCTGTTCTTAAGCAGCTTCACAAAGATGGCACTTGCCACCAACATCTACTTTGTGAGTTGGGTGCTTTCCAATTGCTGGTGGGATGGGGGAGACCATTCTAGATGATTTTTCAAAGCATGAGGTGTGATCATCTCACTTAATATACTGACTGCTGACAGCGTTGGCCCAGACCTCCTTCCATCTTGCTTGGGGACTGTCCATTGTCCTCCAGTGTATGATTAGCAGATTAGCTATCATGTAAGAAGCCAGGAAAATGAACTCGCAGGAAGCCCTTCCAAAGCGAGAGTAATTCATTACCCGGACTGATTTCCACTTAAAATGTACTTTAAGCACACTTCCAACCACAAACCCTAAATCACCCTGTGCTCACAAAGTCCATCATTTTTTATTTTATTGCATGGTGTTGGCGTGACATAATCCCTTACAGAGCATCTCAGAGTGCTTTGCAGATCGATAAATTACTTACCTGTGCAGCAGAAGCAGTGTCTACAAGGCCAACCCAGGCCCTGCAGGCAAGCTTCCCTCCAAGGAAGCAAGTAAGGCTGTGTGGGATCTGCTGAGGAGCAGGAGAAGGGACCACACATATGTCTGGGTTGCGGGAAGAGTTCATGAGAAGGAAATGCTCCAGTTAAGGCTCTATGAATAAAATACATCAAAGGCTCTATTTCTGCAAGATCAGTTTAAACGATTAGAGAATTAAGAGAATTTAGAATGCGTATCTGTCAGGAAGTCAGCAAATCAAACACTTAGTCATTAACTCATCAATTACTTTTCTGTCCTGGAAGGCCTAATCTAGCTTTTAAAATGATGCAACCATAAATTGCAGTGTTGTATTTAAAAATTCCAAAGTATAGAACCGGGTGTCTTTCTTGAACCCTTGGTATATACACTGCCAGTTATTTCTAACTCATTTTGGTTTGAATGTTCAGGTGTGTGTGTGTGTGTGTGTGTGTGTGTGTGTGTGTGCGTGCGCGCGCGCACGCGTGAGTGCATACCCCTTTATCTGAAGCTCAGTGTAGGCTTCAGTCTAAAAATGATTAATTGGTGCTTGCTCTATGCACCCTATTTAGGACAGCTGAAAGTTAAATGATGAGGAAGGCTCTTAGCATAGTTAGATAATTTATAGCACAGAAAGAAAGGCTAGAGAAATGTAACATATGCATACTTCAAACACATAGAAGAGAAACTACAATGCTATGGAATCCCCAGGGAGGAGAGGTATCAACTTTGTGAGGGATGGGGAAAGCCATATGGAAGGAGTGGTAATTCAAGGAGGCCTTGGGCAACTGTAATAGGTATAGGCAGAGAAAATCTGAGCACTCACATTAGCAATGACGACCTGGATAAGGAGGCAAAGTATAGCACATGCCTGTGAACTTGAGTGCTCCCATTTGGGTGTGGTGTGTAGCATAAAAAGAAAATGTTACCAAAGGAGGGACAGGGAAGAAGGCTGAAGCAGGATAAATACATCATACTTTTATTCATGGCTGGTATGATACAACACAAGGGAGTCAGTAATGGAGCAGAGCTTTTCTCCTCCAAGACAGATATTGAGATTTGAGATTTGCAGAGCAGTCTGATTATTAAGGACTCGATCACTCTGGTCATGGAACAAAGAATAAAGTCCTAGCATAGTCTCCTGAGTTTCTCTGCAAAGCAGATTGTATTTTGTACTAGAAAACACATGGGCCCTGGAATTGCATAGAGTGGTGGCCCAGGAATAGTTATTCAAGTGACAAATGTAGCATGAAGAAACGTAAGAGTGCTGGATGGGGAGGTCATTTAATTTTCCAAGAACTTTGTCAAATCCAGTGTTGGTAGGGCTGAAATACTACATGCTAATGATCATCCCATAAGGTTGTTGGGAAGATGGAGCAGGTTGGGAAGGTAGTTCCCTTGGACAATCATTGTAATTCAATCCTGTAAACATTTGTAGAAGGTAATTTGAGGAAGCATGCTCAGGCCACCAGAAAGCTTGTGGTCTAGCAGATGAGAGGAGCAAGCCAATAGCCATAGCCTGTGGGGTAAGTGTCTACACTTGGAGTTTATGGGCTCCACTAATGACATTCTCACTTTATCCACATGATATAAACCATTTGACAGATTAAACAAATGAGCAGCCACATGCAAAACCCAATATCCCATTGGCTAGTAGTAAAGGTGGTACTGCAGAGTGAACTCAGATGTGGGACAACAATAATCTTTTATGCTGGATCCTAGTGAGAGACAGGTGTACACATACAGTCGCTCGTGTGAGATTCTGTTTCTGTTTAACAAGCAGAGGATAAAGCACCGCAGGCATGTCGGCTTGCAAGAGACAAGCTAAAGACCATAAATGTCCTGCCTCCAACTCCATCTATCATGAGAAGCATTTCCTTTGGACAAATAACTCAGAGTTCAACAAAATAAATATCGCTTGTGGCTCACACCTGTAATCCTAGCTACTCAGGAGGCTGAGATTTGAGGATCATGGTTTGAAGTCAGTACAGACAGCAAAGTCTGAGACTCTTATCTCCAATAAATCACAGAAACACCTGGAAGTTGAACTATAGTGCAAGTAGTAGAGAGCTGGAATTGAGAAAAAAGAGCCTAGCAACTTCCCCCAGGCTGAGAGCTCAAGCCTCAGGACCTACAAAAATAAGAATATAAACAAGCTGGCACATGTATTGTGGGGTGGAGGGGAATAAGTTGAGATAAAAGACAGAGGGTGACAGACAAATGGAGGGAGGAAGTGTGGGTGAATGCAGTCATAATATTCACTGTATAAATGTAAAAATGGAACTAGGTAAAGTGACAGGATGGGTAGAGTTGAGAAAGGTAGGGGGGGATGATAAAAGGAGTGATTTTGATCAAGATGTTTTATACTCATATTCACATGTTGAATTGAAACATCTTTGTACAACATTTTAAGGACTTTTTCCCCCTCCCACCTCCACAATGCATTTTCCTTTTTGTAAAAGAGAGAAATGCAGACTGAGAGATACACAATACTGAGAGAGAGGGAGCAGAGATGGAGGAGATGGGGGAAGAGAGAGAGACAGGAGGGAGGGAGGGAGAGAGAGAGAGAGAGAGAGAGAGAGAGAATGCAATAATGGCTGACAGTTTATTTTCAATTCCCTGTCATGGATCAGGTATATGTTATGTGTTCCAGAAGCACAGGCAAAGAAGTAGGACTAAATTTGAGTTGTTAAAGAGGTCAAGGGTGAAGGGGTAGTAAAATTCACCACAAAGAAAGTGACATTTGTCTTGGGCCTGAAAGAAAAACAGGGAGATTTCAGGAAGGATGTAAGCATCAAGGCTGTAATGATCTCCATGGATGATGCTGGGAAAGTGTGTGAGCAGAGTTAGATTGCTGGAGCTGGCACTAAGAACCTGGGCTGATGCTTGATTCTGAGTAGCAGTGTGCCCTGCTCAAGAACTGCATTATATAAAGCCATCTCTGTACACAGTAAGAATGACTCGTGGACATATGTTGGTGGATGGGTGAGAGCAGAGACAGGAAGAAGGTATAGTTAGAAGAACAATGCATGCAGAACTACAGTAGAATGTAGTCCCACTTAGACATTTGACTTAGGACTTAAGCCCAGTCAAGAGGAAACTAAATTCTACGTCATTTTTCATATTTAAGGTCCTTTCTCTAATGTCTCACTATTTACAGTGGTAGTCCATGCACTTCAGACTTTAGTCAATTCTATCAGGTACTTTTCTAAGACCACAAAGAAATGAGTCAGCAGTATTCATATTTTTCTTCTACCTATTTTTTTTATCTCCACAGTATCTCCCAAAATTGTAGAGATCTCTTCAGATATCTCCATTAACGAAGGGAACAATATCAGCCTCACCTGCATAGCCACAGGTAGACCAGAGCCGACAGTTACCTGGAGACACATTTCTCCCAAAGGTAAGAAAAGAAGTTTGCTGCATCGGGTCAAGAGAGGCAAAGGGAGGCTTGTTGGCCAGAAGGATGACACCTGACACCTCACTCCCAGGGCTTCTACGTTTCTGGTGGTCTGATAATGTTATACCCATGAGTCTACAGATAATTTTGGTGTCCTCTGTAAGACCACAACAGCTTCAAAGGTTTCAGAAATCGTATCTGAGTATCTCTCCTGTGGAAATTAATTCTAGTTGTCTCTGGTGAAATGGTGGTTAAAATGTTCTGAGTGAACTTCCCTTGTCATACTTGATGGTAGAAAGAGGTGCTTTGGTGGACTGTACAGCTGGTTGTTTTTGAGGATATCAAACATAAACACACAATGACGGATAAGAGCTGTAAATGGCCATGCTCCTAAAAGGAAATTTCCTAGTCTGTGCCTCTTCAGCATTGCCAGAAACCTGGTCATTAGTTGTTTTTGTGGTCTATCTGTTGCTTCTCTCTGAGTGATCCTCAAAAACAAATATAACTTAATGGGTGGCTAAATTGCAAAATTTATTTTGTCTTAATGTTCAGATGTTATGCAGACCAGACTGAGCATTTTGTGCATTCATGGAATGAGTATTAAAACCTTCAGAATTTAAGACAAGATGTCATTTATCATTAAGCTAACTCTCATTTGGGATCAAAGTACAATAATGTTATTTCATTTGTTCTTAAATACCTATTGAATATTGCAAGAGTTCAGGCTGTTTTAGGCACTGTGGGATTTAGCAATATTCCGAAACTGACAAATTTATGTTCTTAGGAATTCACATTGTCATGAGACAGATGACCAAAAAATAAAAGAATAAGTCCAGAATGTAATAGGGGCTGATAAAGTTGAGACACTGGAACAGTGTAAATGGACAAAAGAACAAGAGGTTTGGTCAAGGAATGCCTCTGGATATGGAAAGGAAAGGGATGCAGAGAAGTCCTTAGCTCTGTTTCTTACTACTGTGTAGTTATATATGTATTTATGCATTGACATGCTTAGATGAAGGAAGGTGTATATATGGCTGGGCAAGGTAACTTTAAGGGTTCCAAAAGCTGTTGCAAGTTGGGTAGCCACAAGTGACTCATAGAAGGCAATTTCTGTAAATGTGATGTCATCTAGTGGTACAGATCCATTTCTCTGCCGGGGAAAGAACTAACGAGTTAGAGACATAGTGAAATGTAGTAAAGCGGCAAGTCAAGCACAGGCCATTTTTTTGAGCCACAAATCCCTTAGGTCTTCCAAGAGGGCAGTTGTTACAGTTCAGGGAGCTCCTCCCCATCTCCTCCCCTGGTTGACCTGTCCCTCTCCGGAGTTGTGCTGATTGCTTGGTAGCTTGTGTCCTTGCTGCCAAACTCTTTTGATTGTCTCCCCAGTGTTGGGCATAATTATGGAAGTAAATTTGATTGTTCATGCCCAATTGGTATGAGGTAGTATCTCACAACTAACAGGATTTTGATCAGGAACCCAGAACAATATGGGAAAAATAAGCCCCATTTTGAGCAGGGGCCTGAGGCACTATGGCAACAAGAAGCACCATGATGAGCCACATACTGTCTGCCATGTGTTATGTCCACCATGCTCTAGCCCTTAGGACCATTCTTACAGGCCTGCATCTGCAGAGATGAGGCAGTGCCTTTCTATCCACGGTCAAGCCTGTGCATTTAGGCTGTTCCCAGAAGGGCTGCGAGCTTGTGCTTAGCAGGTGTCTGTTTTACCATAAGGGGCTGAAACTAAGGACTGTTCATCTCAGCTTGTGGTTCATTGGTGGCATAACATTTGCATTCCTGAAGGTGGCACTCATGGCCATTACACTTGAACATTTAGAAAACCTCTGTCACACCACAATGGTCTCCACACCATGAGGTTCTTCTCTTCAAAAGTGACAGTACTGAAGGATCAATGTGTTCACCAAGTCAAATCTTAGGTTGTGTTTGTCTCAATTCCAAGGGGCTTTCCTATGCCATTGTTCTAGTGCCTCTGCCAATCCCTCCATTTGAAATGACCTTGTGAGTGGACTGAGAGGAGGCCTCAGCTCTGCATGAGGTCATTAATGATGGAGGATGGACTTGGGACGTTAGAATGGACAGATTTTTTTTAAAGCAATGATGCACACAGTGCATCATGGCTTAGTGTTGATGAGTTCCCAGTGCTACTGTGTGCGAGGGTGGCCTGTGCCTTTTGAATCTTTTGAATCTACAAAACATGTATCATTTAAGTACACTTCCTTCTCCTCATGCCAAGAGGCTATCTCCAGTTTGATGTCTTTTCTCAGTCTCACCTCTGACCAGTCAGTTCTTTGTCTTCATCTTGATATCCTTCCCATTTCTCCTCCAGGCATTGAGATTTCTTTTGTTTTATACCTATCATTTTCTGTATCTTTGTTAGTTCTTTCCTTTTCTCTCACAAGCTCCTATTTTTTTCTGCCTTAGTTTCTTTTCTTTTTTCATATTGTCCCTCCTTTTCTCTTTGTCTCTCTGTCTCTGTCTCTTTCCCTTATAGTAACACATAGTTACTCCCCCTCTACTGCCAAACCTCTTCTCTGCATCTTTCTGGTACTCATGCTGCTGTGTCCTGGAGTCCTTTGTTCCCCCCTTTGTGGCCATCAAGCTGACTCACTTCCAAAGGAGATTTTTACCTGAGGCCTGGCCAGATGCTGCCATTTCACTGAGGTTTTAGCTGCTATGGAAACAGAAGATAGATCAAGAGGAAAGGAGAGAGCTGATGAGAATCTACCTGTGGATTTGAGTAATTTAGATGAACAGCTTTGTCCAGATCCTGCGCCCAGATTAGCCATCCTGGATTCAAACTGATGAGACATGCCAAGACTCAGCTAATCACCGTGGGACTCACTGGGGTGCTAGGCTCCTGGTGACTGATTGTTTTTAGATCAGAGATGCCATTGGGTGGCTGCCAAATCTAAACTGAAGCTAAGATCCTTAGCAGTCAAAGTTTTCATCTGTGCTGGCTAAATGCTTCCAAGAGAGCACTTATTTTAAATAAACTAGGACTGGCTTGGAGTACCAAAGGGAGAGAGCTACTGACATTCTATTGTCCTGGTCCATGGAGGCAGGTTATGTTTTAATCCAGATAATTCTCTCTCTCTCTCTCTCTCTCTCTCTGTCTCTGTCTCTCTCTTTTTCACACACACACACACACACACACACACACACACACACACACACACAGAGTCCCTAAATGAATGACTGATCAGGGCACTTTAGATGACCCTAATGATTTCATCACAATTTCTCACTTTAGATTGATCTGTTTGTTCTGTACTTTTCTGAAAAATCCTGGTTTCATCCATCATAAGTTACAGAATGCTGCATGCAATAAGCGTATAACCTCTTTAGAATGAGTATTTCCAACCTTGGCCACTTTCTTGTGTGTAAAAGGGGTTCTGAAATGTTAACCATTCTTTCAGGGGGACTCGTGCATTTTGATGGAGGAAATCCTGGGAATAAATGGCTAGTGGGAAAGCAGGTCAAGAGGGTTTACCAGGCCTTTGTACCAGATGGAAGAAATATGGCTTATTGACAGGCAGGATGGAGAAGAAGGGGGGATGTCTCAAGCTGTCTTTTGGCCCCAGCCATTGGTTGTTCAAAGAAGTTTTCTATATGTTATTCCTGGAATGATGTTATTTTTGTTCCTCCCATTAAATTGATCACTCTTAACATGTAAAAAGAAAGTGCACTAGCTATAAGATTCTTAACTCAGCTGGGCACCAGTGGCTCATGCCAGTGGCTCATCCTAGCTATCAGGAGACAGGTCTAAAGCTGACAAGTGGAAGCAGGCATGGACAGGAAAAAGTCATGAGACTCTTACCCCTATTTCAGCACCAAAAAACTGGAAGTGGAGCTGTGGCTCAAATGGTAGCATACTAGCCTTCAGCAAAACAGTTCAGGGGCAGTACCAAGGCCTTGAGTTCAAATCCCAGGACCTGCTTGTATATGTATGTGCTCACACACACATTCTTATCTCTCCTCTGTAACACCTGCCTGGGTATGCAGATGTTTTTCACACCTGTGTGGCCTTTGGTCTTTTCAGGAGGAAAAGCACTCATCTTCCTGTTCTTAAAAGTAAGAACATTTTTGTCTATGTGAGAGTGACTGGCAATAGCCCAGGTCTCTGTAGGTGTCAGCATATGGCTCCAGGCTCATGCACATGGTGAGGGCAGCCATATTTACCTCCTTCAGACAAGTCTCCTACTCTGTGCCGTATCTGCTATAGAATGGACTTTAGCACAGCCCTAGGTTTCTCATCTGCAATATGATATCTTTAATGCTGTCTTACATAAACAGAAATATGATCTCTTTTATCATGTTCTAAGTGATACAATGCTGACATCAGTCTTTACAGGAAAAAAAAATGTTCTCAAAGCCATTGGTTTCTAGTTTCTATTGGAATACAAGAACTTTAGGGACCAGGCTAATGGTCCTGTGAGCCTATCATAAAGATCAGGTGAAGCAGTGAGTCCAGCTACCAACTTGTGACTTTCTCTACACCTGTGGAATAAGGGATTATCAATGGATATAATAATGGAGCTCTCTTCACCTATCCCCACTCAAAAACATACTGACAGTAATATCCTTATCTACACTACCTAAGGAATACTTCATATAAAGTTAATAGGATTCAGGAAGTCTCCGTGAGCTATTCACTGAGATGCCATGAGTTTCCGCTCATTTGCTTCCTCTATTGTTCTTTGACATCAGGTTGGTGTCTCACTTGTCCGGGAGTCTTCATCTTGTAACACAGTACTGGCACCTAGAGAGCATGCAGAGAGTATTGTTGACTCAGTGAATCAGCACTGACATTTGCCAATGCCCCAATGGGACTTTTCTTCTCTCCCAGCATTAAGATATCATCCTGATCCTCATGGGCTTCTCCTTCAATTTCATGTTTGCGGTGGGGACCTGGTATGTCTCCTTCTGGAGAGATTCCAGCACATTTCCCCTGATCTTTGTGGGATCATCAAGCTGGAGCTGAA